TATCAACAATCTGCGTTATGCAGATGACACAACCCTGATGGCCGAAACTGAGGAGGACCTGAAGCACTTGCTGCAGAGGGTCAAGGACTACAGGCTCAAATATGGATTGAGGCTCAATGTAAAGAAGAGAAAGATTCTTACCACTGGGCCAATTGGCAGCATCAGGATGGATGGTAAAGAAATTGAGATAATTCACAGCTTTAGTTTGCTTGGCTCCACAGTCAACACTCTTGGCACCAGTAGCCAGGAAATTAAAAGGCGTATTGCCATGAGAAAGCCTGCTATTAGGGACCTCTCCAAAGTACTGAAGAGTAATGGTGTCACTCTGGAGACTAAGATGCGTCTGATACAGGGCCTGTTCTTTGCGATCACTTGTTATGCATCAAAGAGTTGGACAATGACCAAGGAGGATAGAAGGAGAATTGATGCCTTTGAGCTGTAGTGCTGGAGAAGAGTATTGAGAGTACCATGAAGTGCTAGGAAAACAAAAAGATTCATCCTGGAAAGGTTAAACCAGGTGGTTCCTTGGAGGCAAGGATTCTGAGCCTCCGTCTAACATACTTTGGATATGTTGTAAGGAGAGACTGCTCCTTGGAGAAGGACATCATGCTTGGGAGGGTGGAGGGACAGCGCAGGAAGGGAAGGCCCTCTATGAGGTGGATTGATTCAGTGATTGGGGTAATTGGGATGGGAGTGTCAGAGACAGTGTGACTGGCACAGGACAGAGCAGAGTTTAGGGCTGTTGTACGTAGGGTCGCTATGAATCGCAAGCGACTCGACGGCACATAACAACAACAACAACAACTGCCTCTGTAATGACCTTCTCTTCTTTTTATGGATGAAATCCCACAGTTCTTTTGGTATCCTAGGTATTCTATCATTGTGGTTCAATTTATCACATCTGTTCTTGAGATAATGCTTAAACTCAAATGGGATAGACTCAAGGTCATATTTTGGTTCTGGCAGCCTAGTTTTTATTTTGTTCAGCTTCAATTTGAATATGGACATGAGTAGTTGACATTCCGTTCCACAGTTGGCTGTGGCCTGGTTTTCATTGCTGATATTGAACTTCTCCAATAATTCTCTCCACAGATAAGTCAATTTGATTCTTGTGCAGCACATCATGTGAGCTCCGTGTGATCATGGCTCATGACTATTATTAAGTCATGCCACTTATCATAAAAAGCAAATTAGAGAAAGAGGTTTGGAGGACCAGAACACAGTTTACTTCTTTTTAAACTCTTAGCACAGTGCTAGTAAAGAGTGAACTTTTGATATTTAGAAGGAATCCACCTCTGGTGTTTATAAATTCTAACATTTATTAACAAAGCACAATTCTCTTTGCAAAATGCAGGGAAGTATTATTTTAAAAGAAATATGCCTCATATTTAGTGATTCTATGAAGGTAAGAGTAATTTTTCTTATATAATTAAAAAAGCTTTTATTCCTGCTTTAAATCCAGATTGTCAATGAATTTGATATTGTATTGAAGTTTTCCCATTTTGCTTTAAAATCCATTCCAGACTTATTCTTTTTGGCTAAGGCTGAATGCTTACTTTGATCTCTTCTGAAGTCGCACATGCTTGATTTCCCATTTTCAAGTAAATAAAATATATCCTTGATTTCAGACATTAGGAATCTAGGAACATAACAGGAATGTTGTTGCTGTTAGGGGTCATAGGGTTGTTGAGACTTACGTATTGAGCAGTAATGTTAGTTTGAGACTAAGGTGTGCCACGGTCTTTTCAATCACTGGCTCTGCTGCTGAGAGCTGGATAATAATAGGGATGATAGAAGAATTGATGCCCTTGAGTTATGATGTTGGAAAAGAATGCTGAAGATCCCATGAACTGCCAAAAAATCAACAGATATGCCTTTGAGAAGGTGCAACCAGAGTGATCTTTGGAGGCAAGGATGGCAAAGCTTCATCTCATAAAGTATGGCCAAGTTGCTAGGAGAGACTACTCCTTGGAGAAGGACGTTCTGTTTGGAAAGGTGGAGGAAGAACAAGAGGAAGAACCTCAACCAGGTGGACTGACAAAGCAACTGCACAATGGACTCACGTGTGTCAAAGATTGTGAGAATGGCATAGGCTGGTGTTCCCAGGATCACCATGGCCACGTTCCACTCGACGGGCACCAAACAACATCAACAACGACATGTATAATAGACCTAATCTATATCCAATTCTGTGCCATCTTCACATCTTTGCTGTGCAGTCCCTGTGCCAACCCATCTTCACTGAGCCTCTACTTTTCTACATATTATGCTTTAGCTCAAAGACTAAGCCCCTCCTGATAGCATGGCCAAGTCATGGGGCATGAATCTCACCACCCACGTCTCTACAGAGTGCGCTGACTGTACCTCTCCCATGATAGAAGGGTTTGTTTTGTTGTTCTTTAGCACCCTATGTGGCAGCCCATGAATGCTCTGATATTCATTAGTTGGTTAACTTCATTTAGTAGCTAAATCTTTATCTTCCATTCTAGCTTGACAGAGTGAGTAAGTAAATCAGTACCTGACAAATTTTTTAATATCTTGTTATAGATTTTTCAGAGTTGTCTGCTTGTAACTGAATAAATCAATCCAGGAAAGCTATTGGTATGCAAGGCTTAAAATTGAAAAAAGTTTTTAAGGTGCAAGGGTGTTGTTATATTCATCATGTTAGTTTATAAGTAATTTTGTTTGGATTTTAGAATGAATTTATTTAGAAGTATAAAAACTAGGGCGCTCTGGTGGCCTAGTGGCAAGAAGCTGCACTACAATCCCGAAGGCACCTGGTTCAAGGCCACCAACTGCTCCACAGGAGAAGGACAAGAAATCTCCTCTTGTGCAATTAACTGCCTCTGAAAACCTGCCGGAGGGTCAGCTATGGGTCGGTTCTGACTCAATAATACACAACAACAACAATATAAATACTAGTCAACTTCCAGACTACTCCATAAGTTTTCGGTAAGATGTATCATGGACTAACAAGGAAGGAGAAGTAGGTGGAAGTAACTAGTAGAAGCCTTCACTGAAGATTTTATTTTTGGGATAGGGAGTGTGAGGAATGGCTCATAAATGGACTTAGAACAAGAGACAAGTCACAGAGTACAGAGTCGTATCTTCTCTTCCCTTGCTAAGCTGCTATAAGTAGTTTTCAGAAAATGATCATGTATTTCCATATACCTCTTATACTGCAATACTCAGGTAATCAAAACCATACTGCTTTAAAGAGATTTGTTAGAAGTTTGAATGACTACTTGGCATGGTCATTTCTGTTTTCCAGAAATGATTAATTCTTTCCATACTTAGCCACTTCTATCCGTTATGTTTTAGTGATGGGTCAGTATTCCCTGCCCAAGAAACTGACATAAGCGAGGGTTTATTTTAATCACCTGACCCTGAATGTGGTCTTCTCTCTTGTGGGGCTTTCCAGAGGTGGACTCCAGAGTGCAAAGGTCATCATATAGGAAGGCTGTGGTGGAGGTGATGAGTGCTCACTCAATGATACCAGTAGCCCCGAGTTACACCCTAGAGAGCCAACAACATGCTTAACTACCATAAATGAAGCCTGTCTGCTTTATAACTTATTAGTACTGGCCTGAAATAATATTTCTTTCCCTTTTTCGGTTACTTAAAAAAAATAATCTGTGTTTACCCTAAGTAAAGCAATTTAGAGACATATAAAGAGAAAAGGGATGCAAAGTTTCACATCCCCTTTCAAATACTGAATTCACTAGTACTCATAATTTGGTTATTTAAGATTTTTCATTCTCTTAACTTTCTTTTCAATGGAGAAATTTTAAAAACAGAGAAACTGGAATGTGGGATGACTAACAATCATCCGCCTTGAGTCCAGAACAAGTCACAGAGGGGTTCTCAAAAGAGAATTAAGTAAAAGGTGTAGAGAGAAAATAAGAAATTCTTGCTATGCTTTCTGTAGCCTTTCCATGTGTTTCTCTTCCTTTTCTAAGCTACTGGGTCTGAAACTGACTTCACAGAATTAAGTGAGGGAAAGGATTCCCACCGTGCTATCCACAGATGACAACACAGGCTCCAGGTATCTCCCTGGTTTCTTACAACAATAAAGTGCTGGAATGTGCTACCAAGAGAAGCTAGCTCTTTAGAGCTTGTTGGATGATCTTTTGATATTTTAGAGGACAATGAACAATTATATGTGACTTAGATAATTACATTTTTCATTTTCAAGGGCTGGATCAGATGATTCAGCCTAGGCTTGGGACCTTAGTTTCAGTCAACTTGCCTGTAGTATTTAATGACAGAATATGCACAACTAGATTATTTGTCAATCAGGAGTGATGGAGATAGATCAGGCAGCTGATGACAAAGGACTTACGCATCGCCTGTGCTGATGGCCATAATTTTCTGGAGGCCTCCAGTGTTTAGAAGGTCCCGGGCATTCTGGTAACTATTTTGGATGATATTGTTCAATGTGTAACAGGCAGAGGCTGTAGTTTCAATGAGAAGGTCAGTACTTGGAACTGTGTCAGGAATTATAGAAACCAAATCAGGAAGCGTTTCTTTGGCTACAAAAGAAAAAAAACCCAATACTTGATTAAAATGATGTTTCTTCATTTCAAGATCTCAACATAGATTGGATAAAGAACAGTTTAACAAATAAGCATAATTAATATATCCCTAAAACTATACACTCTTTAACAAAATAAAATACAGATTTATAAAAAATGGCTATCATTTCATACTCACTAAGGTGGTGGGTGGATTGATTGATTGATTGATTTATAAAAGGCAAGTGTTAGCAATGATGTGCAGAAGCTGGGATTTTTTTGTAGTGCTGTTGAACTGAAGAAAGGTGGTGGGACCACTGTGGAAAACAATGTGCTTTCTCAAAAGGTTAAACATGGGATTACCACGTGACTGAGCGACTTCATTCAAAGGAAATGCTTGAAAGAACTGAAAGCCAGGACTCAGATGCTTGTATATCAGAGCTTACTGCATGTTATTTACAATAACTCTGATGGCTCAGATGGCATTGTCATCTATGACGTTGTCATAGAGCTGTGCTGCTATGCTAAAGCTGGCCAGTTAGACTTGAGAAAGGCAGGTACTCTCCTTTCATGTGATTTACCGCTTCTGAAAACCCACTGGAAGGTCAGCTATGAGTTGACTCTGACTCTATAGCACGAGTTTTTTAGTTTATTCATCATAAGCAATGGTTAGGTGAAATGGGCTCTGGTGGTCTAGTGGCAAGAGGCTGTGCTGTAATCCTGAAGGGACATGGTTTGAGACCACCAGCCACTTCACAGGAGACGGGATGGGCAATCTCCTCCCGTGTGACTAAATGCCTCTGAAAACCCACCAGACGGTCAGCTATGGGTCAGTTCCAACTCAACTGTATACACACAACTCAATAACCAATGGTTAGATGAATCAGGATAGATGAAAAAAGGGAGAAAATATCATGTGGTTCCACTGAAATGAGATACCTAATCAAACTAACCCAAGGCTGTACAAATCTTTATGGAAGCAGACTATCTCATCATCTTGTGGAGGGGCAGAACTGCTGAGTTTTGGGTTAGCAGCTAAATTCTTTAACCAATGTGCCAGCAAGGTTCCTTAAAGTAATATTTGTAACAGGAAAATTTATATAGAAATAGAGTAAAATAGAAGTTACTAGAGGAATGAACAAAAGGATTTATTGCTCAATGGGTCTAAAGCAGCTAGTTAGGGTGATGAAAAAAACTGGGAATAGACAGTGCTGAGGGCTGCATGATACTGTGAGGATATTAGTGAATTGTGTACTTTAAGTGCTCAAAATGGCACATTTTATAAATATTTTACTGCACACAGAATTTTTCCCATTTTATCCTATTTTTTCCCCCAGTTTATTTTTTTTATTATTAAATTTTATTAGTTTTAAGGAACATTTACAGGGATTTTGGGTTTTCATTCCTTCATTGCTGCACCATTCTCTCTACCCTCCTCCCCAGTTTGTTCTTCTTCCCCCATCCGAATGTCTGTTTTAATTGTCCAATTGCCACAGTGCTTGTCAAAGTCAGTTCTGATTAATCTCCTTTGTCGGTGTGGCCTTTGCCATTCCCCATCACTCCTCCCTGAGAGAGACTTCACCCTGATTCATAAGGAAAAGGGCACGGCGTATTCTCTTAGCTACTTCCTGCTGAAAAGGGACGCTGTGGGTTTCAGGGTGAAGATCTTCTCTCACTACTCTAAAGGGCCCCTTTGGCAGTAGGAAACGCATAGACTATTATGGAGATTGATTTTGGAATTTAGATGCACTCTTATTGATTGTGCTTGGCCATTTTATCCTATTTTAGTATACTCTGCTCAGTATATTGATAAAATCTTTTCAGACAGAAAACTGATAGAAATATCTAGACTTAAAAAATATTCATATTCTTTTACTCAGTAATTTAATTTCTTGGAATTCATCCTAAACACATTATTTTAAATATGCAGAGAGATTTATGACAGTATTTTATGTAAATAAAATTTTAAGAAATCTACAATTACCTAATTACCATAAGTTATGTTAACCATACCAAAATGTAATAAGAAGCATGTATAATAAAAAATATTTTTTACTAATATAGTAAGAAAAAGTTAGTATGCTTACATAAACAGAATATTGTAAAAGAAAAGAACATAAAAAGCAAATAAAGAAATGTATTAAAATATTAACAGAAGCTCTTTTCTACAGTGAAATTAATGAAGACCTAAAAATATTTTCTGAAAACTATCTGTACTTCTCCAAATTGCATATATCTGGTCATATCTTGGAAAAGGAGAAAGAAATTATTTTAAACTATTTTTCAATGTATGTAAGTTCTTTATAGAGTTTGAAATGTCTTTTTCGGAAGTTGTGATGAGAAGAATTAATGGTTAGTAGCTTCACTATAACTTGTCCAAGTATACCTAGAATATGGAATATACTGTATTTTGGACAATATGAATTTGTACTTGATTTTATGCCATTATTCTTTTCACATACATTTTCCCTCTGTTTAGAAGAGCCCTCATGGCACAGTGACTAAGCATTTAGGTGCTAACAGAAAGGATAGCAGTCTCTCCATGGAAAAGAGTTGTAGCAATCAAGATTACAAGTTCAACAGGGCAGTTCTATCAGATGGCTTTAAGTCAGAGTCCGTATTCATGAAAGTTGATGAATTCTTCCAAATATTAATTCTTAAATGCTTTTACTGCTCTCCACAGTTCTTTAATACAGTGCTGTTTGTTATGAATATATGACAGACACAGATCAATTTTATTGTTCTTATATTTTACTTGTGTGAGACCCTAAATCATACTTCTCTCTAAACTACTATACTGCATTTTTGTGTGTTCATTATGTGTGTCAACATGCATAGGGGTGTGTACAACTGACTTTCTAATAGGGCCACAGGCTCCTTGAAGACAATTATCTTCTTCACTTATAGACTGCTAGCATTTACCACAATGCCAGAAACAGGATTGTATGACATATCACAATGGCACTGTAGGGCACATCACCCTTGCATTATGCCTGTTCTGATTGAAAGTATTACACATCTCCTGTTTAAAGGTCAGAATTTAAGGAGTTTAAAGGGGTGCTTAATCATAGGGTAGCACAATTTGATGGCTGGAGGGAGAGGTGGGTGAAGCAAATGAAAAAGATTCAGTATGAAAAACAATGTACATGAATTTTGTAAATAAACCAATAGAATAAAAAATAATTTAAAAAAGAGTTAAGCATTATAGAGCACTGTTAAGAGCTCACAGCTTGGCTTCTGAAGCCACATTTTTTTAATTTTACCTACTAGAGCTCTGATTACCTACTGGTAAGAAGCTGCATTGCCAACCAAAAGGCACATAGTTCAAATACACCAGCTGCTCTGGAGAAATATGGGCAATTTCTTCTCATCTGACTTACAGCTGAAAACCTACTGAAGATCAGCTGAGTTGCTTTTTACTTGATAGCACTTAACAACAACAGCAACAGCTTTGTGCTCATGGTAAGCTTTTAAATGTCTCTGTGCTGCATTCTCTTAATTTTTAAAAGAGATAAAAATATTTACTTAATAGGGTGGTTGGGAGAACTTTAATAGCATGAGAACTTTAATAACATGTTAACTCTATCACAGTACCTTTCACATGGTAGACTTTCAATAAAAGCTTGTTATTAAAAGGCACCTAAAAGTGTTACCTGGTTTAGTAATCTTTCATAAAAAATAGAAAGTATGCATTTCAAACTGATTTTCATTTATTCTTGGTTATTCATTTCCGAAATAAAAAGAAAATATTCTACTTAAATTACTATATTTGTCAGAGAACAAATTTGGAAATTTAAAAACTGCATTTATCTTGCCACTTCTCTCTGTTATCCTTAGAATGAGGGAGGGATCATCAGCAGAAGCACCTTCTGAGTGTTGGCGGCTAGAACTATAACTTCCCAATGGTTAGAGAACTATCGAGCCCGGGACCAATAGCATTTCTGCCCTCGAGGCACATGTGCAATGTGTACGGAACAGTTATTTTCCTTGGCAGTGTTTTAAAGGGTGGAATGAATGCTCGCGAGAAGAAAAAAAAATTCTCAGGATAATATACCTGTACTGAAGTGCAGCACAAAAACCCACAACACTTTCATAGTCTGGTGAATGCCGAAGGCAGTTTCTTTCAGGTTCTTTGAAAAATTTCCAGGTTCTCTATTTACAATGGGAATGGAACCATTGTATGGACTAGTCTAACAACTGCTGCACTGCTGTCTTCTTTGGAAAGAACATTAGAAAAACATAACGACAACAACGAACTCCAATATCCTTGAGTGGTGAGTGTGCATGTGCGTGTGTGTGTATGTGTGTGTGTGCACATTTGTGTACCGTTTTAAAAGTCTAATCTAAAAACAAACAGAATTTTGCTTATAATTTTAGTGGGTTTTTATTTTAAAAAACTGAAACTCAAGTTGTAAGAAATTAATTTATGATGCACTATGGAAGCAGGCTTAATTTAAAAATTATCTTATAATTTTATAGTTTTTAACTTGATTCAACAATTATTACATATTCCTTGGTATAAACAAGTGAACGAAGAATAAATAATCTCTGGCAATAATAAAGACTCTTACTCTGAAACCCATTTATGCTAGCTTGAATTTGATATTTTCATTAATGTGGTCTTTCTGTCTTTTCCTTGTGTAGATAGATATATCCATCTATTAATTTTTTTCCCCTAGCTCAACACATTGCCAAGTTTTTGAAGTGTGTTTTTTTTAAATACCACTTTTTCCCCTTTTAAAAACTATTATTTCAGTGAAAAGTTTGCAGAGTACATTGATATTTTATTCATCCATTTGTATATATTTTGTTTTATGAGATTAATTTACAGTACCAGTAATTGCACTCTCCCTGTTCCATCCCTGTGATTCTTGTTTCCATTAACTTTTCTATCCCACACTCTTCTGCCCTCTGAGTTTCCTCCATGAGTAAGTTCTGACCTTTTCGTTTTGTATAGTTGATTGTCCTAAGGAGTGAGCACCTTCTGTGCTACTGTTCACCTCAGAGGCCTCTCTCTTCGTTAGCTGAAAGTTAAGCCACAGCGGAGAGTTTTGTTCTAGGCGCCAAGGCCTAGTCCACGGGGAACTACACTGCTAATCCAAAGGCTGCCCCTTGTTGGTGATTATATAAAAATATTAACTTTTAGATTACTCACTCACTTACTGCTCTCAAGTTGGAAGCGACTCATAGCTGACCTTCTAGTGGGAGGCAAGTTGCATGGGAGGAGATTGCCTCTCTCTCTTTGGGAGCCACTGATGACTTTAAGTTGCCAGAACTGTGTGGCCTTTGGGCTAGCAGGGCAACTTCCTAAGACCATGCTACCAGCACTAGTATAGTTCAAACTTTCTCTTCTTTTGCTACTTAAAAAATAGTTACATATTAAGGAAAAAATGTCTGTGAAATTCGGTGAGAAAGTCTACCATTGATTATAAAGTGTCCAAGTCAATCTTAGCTGTCACTACTGAGGCACATTTTCAGTTTATTACTGTGAAAAAGGTGAAAGACAATATTTTTCTTTGTATTTTCAATATGCACATATTGCATTTGGATGCTTTCTCCAACTCACCAATTTCATTCTGCAGAGAAAGGTTCCTAGACAAATTCCTCAGCAAGGAAACGGCAGTTTTCCTCACACTTGGGTCACCGATGTGCAACATCTTCCGGGTGTGCTGCAGGCCATTCTCCTTCTGGACAACCGTCTGTGCTACTGAAGTCGGCATCTGTTTTGTTAGACATGTCACAGGAATGTGATTGCTTTTGAGTTCATTATATTATGTTTTCTGTAGATTACTAGATGCTGAGGAAAATGTTTAACAAAATCATTTAGAGCTTGAAGGTAACCAATTTAAAACTGCCTTGTTAATAGGTTTCTAATTCTATTATTAGCAGTTTATTCTGAAGTATATCTAGAAATATCTTTTTTTTTCATATAGTCATATAAAATTGAGTCATTTATTAAAATTTCACTTTAAATTATGCTGGAAGTTATATTTTTACCCTCTTTTTTTAAATAATATTTTATTGTTTTTTTTACAGAGGTTTTGGATTTCCATTTATTCATTGCCGCAATTTTCTCCCTTCCCACCCCTCCCCACCAGATCGCTTCCCCCTCCGAAGAGAGGAAAAAAAAAAAAAAAAAAAAATCCCTTCATTAGTACACAATTCCCACGTCCCTTCCCCCCACCCCCCACCCCGAGTACACTTCTCTATGCAAAATTAATTCTGGATTCCTGTGCTAACCATAATACTCAATCATATATCATTTCTAATCTGTTCTTTCCCTCATCTGTTTCAATACAATATACATAATTTATCCAGTTTTTTCTGTCATACCCCCACCCTGATGTCAGACCCATTCTACAACAGTGGCACCATGCAGTATTTGTCCCTTTGTGACTGAGATATTTCACTCAGCATAATGTCCTCCAGGGTCACCCACTTTGAATAATATTGCATGAGTTCCTTGTTTTTCAATGCTGCAGTATTCCATTGTGTGGATATACCACAGCTTCTCTATCCATTAATTTGTTGATGGGCCCTTAGGCTGCTTCCAACTCTTTGCTACTGTAAACAAAGCTGCAATAAACATGGGTGTGCATATATCTGCTTGGATGGTAGACATGGTCTCTCTGGTGTATATTCCCAGTAATGGGATTGCTGGGTCAAATGGTATCTCTTTGCAATTTTTTGAGAAAGCGCCACACCGCCTTCCATCCACAATAGTTGCACCATAGAAATATCTTTTAAACAAAGTTATGCATAGCCAGTTAGGACTGTGTTCTGCACCTGAGACCATATGTACAAGTTACTAGTCTAGTTGTCCAGGTTCAATAGCGATAACTCTTATTTGGAGTCAGTCTGCTTTGGGAGTCTGAATATGGATTAGCATTATCTCAATATCAGCCAGCCTCCAACAATACTAAGACGTTACCTTGTGTTTGCAACTTACATTAGATTTTGTTTAAAGTCAGTCTGACGCCAACATACTAAAATTCCCTGTTGTTATTGGCTATTTTTCAGGTGTCTTCTATTCTCCGTTTTACCTCCATGCGGCCTCTTTTCCCCTTCTGTCAGAACTGCCCTGCTCCATGCACTTCTCCACCTACAATAGGGGTTTTTAATACTGAATTCAGGGATAATCTTCAGGGAGGGACAGGAAAGTCCCAATAACCAAGACACCTTCTGTATCTTGATTCAGAAGGTTGGTTTCGTATTTCCCTTTCTTTGGTGTTTTTAGATAACCATGCTTTCCTTCATAGACAAAAAGGTCTGTCTCTCTTAATAATTATCAACCACATCTATTTTCCCTATCATATTTTCTTTGTTAGGATAAGGTCTGTTGATCTTTCTCCAACATTCACTGGAGGCTTTGGAACATGGTTCAGAGCCACCTTCTTTGCCACAATTTCTGTCCTTTCAGATGACATCAGTATCCACATAGACAGCCAAAGTGATTACCCCACAGTTCTACTATTACTGTTGTTTCTAGGCACTTTTTAGTCAGTGTTGACTCAATACTGCTCCTACATACAATAAAATGAGACACAGCACAGGTCTGTGCCACCTTCATAATTAAGCTTCTGACTTTCACATCTGTGCTCACTGAGACAACGTTCTCTCTGAAAACAAACTCCAACATCAGAAAACAACTGTTTTTCCTCCCTTATTTCCATCACACTCCTCAGCCTCATCAAGAATTCCAATCTAGTTATCCCTGTTTTTATTCTTTATCTCCCAAGTTATCAATCCTGTCCTGTTTTAGCTTTATTTCTTAAGACCAATTTAAGTAAATAATCACATCAAATACAATTTTTCTAATATTATAAATACATTTGTTAATCTACTTTCTTTTAGACTTAGTCATCAAAATAGTTTTACTGGATTAGTTTAATTTTTTTGGTCTTTCCTGAACTAACCTTTGGCTACCAAATGTTGTCAAAGTTAATTGTACATATGTCGATTAGTAGTTCTACATTTATGATTATTAATCTCCATCAGGGAGCTTTAGTAATATAATTCATAAGGAGTTACACTGATAATCCAAACATGGTGCCTCTCTGGTAGTTCAAATCCAGCAACCCTCCACAGGAGAAGAGGTGAGCAAACTCTTCCCACGGGATCCACAGCCTCTGAGAACTTGCTGGCGGGTTAGCTATGAGTCAGTTCTGACTCAATGACAATGAGTTAGAGTTTGAACTCTGACAAGGACCTCAATGATAGCAGTCATCTTGCACTTTCTTAAATACCATAGTCTGGATTTCAAAGCCTTACAGAGAATATCTGATCAGAATTGGATACCTTGTTAGGTGCAGTCAAGACAACTACAATACATAATGGCCTTGTGAGCTACAGATCAGAACCTTGTCCTACTTGCTCCACTCTCATGATCCCCATCTAATTCAAGTCCATTGTTTCAGGCACTTATTAACTCATCTCATTGAGGGCCTTCCTCTCTTTCTCTGGCCCTCTACTTTTCCTAGCATGATGTCTTTTTCCAAGGACTGTCCCCACTCAAAGTATGTAAAAAAAGTTTCACCACCTTTGCCTCTACGAAGCACCCTGGATGTACTTCCTCTAAAACAGATTTGTTCTTTTGGCAGTGCATGAGATATTCAATACTCCAGATAATCTAAAAAAACCTCATGAATTTACTTAGCTGCCAAGTAAGTAACAGCAAACGTTCATTTAAATACATTGCTTAACTCTCAATAAGGTCAGGGGGAAAATCACAAGGATAAAACAAACAAAAAAACCCCATATATATGCAAACAGAGAGCCAAAATTAGAGTTGGGGAACAAATCTCTGGAGCGAATGCTGATAGCAGAAATCTGTATTGTCATGAATTAAACGTAGTGGAGCAGGAAGCAGAGAGTACAGACTGTGGGCCTTTACAAGTTTAAGAAGGGAACCTGCACATGAGAGATACCCTCTGAAAGGTAGCACCCTTGAAGGGGCCGTACCTACAACAGCAGGAGAGCAGAAAACCTACCTGTCAGTAAAGACAATCAACAAAGACATTTCTGCTTCCTGGTGATAAATTCAAACAAACAAAAAGTCAGGCTTTTCTCACAATTCGTAACCATCATGCAGCTTTAACACGGCTATCATTTTCATATTTACACTACCTGAGTGATTAGGCCAGCTCTAAACTGAAAATTAAGGTGGAGCTGGATGAAGCCACGACATATTCTCTTAAAGAAACATTCCTTTCAACTAAGGCAATACCCGTAAGAGTAAGTTAGGTAAGTGAGAATTTACTGTAAAGATATCCAAACATATGAGAACTCAGTGGAAACATCACTTTTTCCAGTTTGATTTTAGCCACTAAATGATCGAGTTGTTATCAGAGGATACTGTATCCTATCCTGACTAACACAGGCAACTACCAAAAACTTCAGTGAACATGACATTTAATAATCAGAGGTTATAATACTCTTTTAAAATCAGAAGCAAAAGAAGGATGCATATAATTACTGCTCCTATTCAGGCAAGTATGTTGTTGTTGTTGTTATGTGCCGTCGAGTCGCCTGCGACTCATAGCGACCCTATGTACAACAGCCCTAAACTCC